TTGGGTTATACGGTTATGGGTCTGTTTTTAAGAAACATAAAGCTTACCGACTTTTAAAAAAATCCGCAATTTGGACTTGAGATTTTTTAAATTAAAATTGGGGTTTCTTAGAGTTTAAGTCAAAATAAGGTTTTCTGCTTAATATTTGAAACTAAAAAACAAACTGTGTATGTGGGACATAAGAATGTAAGTTTACACCAAATCTCGTCAAATAACCAGTTTTTTGTACAAGATAAAAATAAAAAATCCAAAAACTTGGTTATTTGAATTTTTCACATGAATTTTGAGGTTATGTGAAAAATGGTTGTGTGAGAATTGCCATATAACTTTTTTCTATAGGACTCGTTTTGTTCCGAAAATCGATATAAACCCCATTTAACTCTTAAAAATCAACTAAGCCCATCCTCTTCCTTTTGCCGACTTCGGATCGCAAGTAGATTATTTTTCATTGTTTGCTATTTTATATTTCATTTCCAATGGATTACATCCTACTATGATTTTTTTGTTTTCAAAAACTATCTACACTGGTTTATAGGGTATTTATGTATTTACATATATAATATAATAAATTGAAAAATAAAGCAGACCTAAGCACGTGACAATGGGCTGCGAAGGCAACGCTCGCTAAATTTCTTAGAGATATGGCGTTATCAACCTATCGAACACAATAAAATTGTCATATACTTAGTTAGATTAATAATATGTACGGAAATATATTTTTAACAGATGCTTGGGTTGAACAGTGGTATGATTCATTAAATTTCTTGAACAAAATTAAAAGACGTTGCCTTAACTTCCCCTGTGAAAATTTTAGTAATACGAACTAAATTGAAATACGATGGTGGCTTATTAATTTTGAAATGCTTAAATCATTCAATGCATATATAACTTTTTTTTCGAAAATTCACATATAAATATTTTTTAATTTCAAAGTAATAATATTCTTTTATTATTTTTATAGATGGAAGTTCAAGAAAGCCGATTAAAAGTGGTGATTGCAGCAAATTTTTTGAATAAACTTTCTTTTTTGCTTTGTATGTTTATCTAACCATTTAGGCAGTTGCCATAAATTTGTCCTCAATTCAAAACACGAAAACTTTTAAAACAAAAGTTATTGAAGAAGAAAATTTCTCTGTTTTATTATTATTTTTTTTTGAAATTTAATTGAACTCTTCTCATTTCTGTGACTTATTTTCTATACTCCTTAATGGGACCTCACGTCAGTGATATTTAAAAAAATCTGTATACTAGTTGATAGGAGATTATGATATTTCCGTTAAGGGTTGTTTCAGTAAATCTCCTAAACAAGCCAGGTCTCTCCTGACTAATGAAGTTATCTACTTTCTTATAAAATATTGATACGGCGATAAGTTCGCTGGCAAGGTAAAAAATATTACTGATGTGAAAGGTGTAAAAACGGTAGAGGAATTGAAAACACTTTTTGCAATTGAGTTTTCGAGCTTGGTGTTTACAGCAAAGGTTATCAGAAGTTGTGGCTCCTCATCTGCAACTACATTTCCGTTTTCAAGTTAATTTGTTTAAATTCGTAAAACAATAATAAGTATTATATAAGCGCGCAACAGGAATCAAGTTAACTTTTGTGGAAAAAAGTCTACAAAATCCATTTTAATAAAATTTATCAATAGTCAAACAAAAGTTTTAAAATAGTTTAAAATTTAATATACATATTATATATACTAGACTGATTACAAAAAAAATTTTAACTTGTTGGGTTAAAAATTTCTATCTATAGCAAGAAATTTTTGCATTATTCACAAATGTTTCCAATAACTCAAAGTGACAAGTCAATTAGTGATAAATCAACTGAAAGTTTAAAGTTTGAAAGTGATAGTGACAGTGTTTGTTCGTATCAACTCACCGGAAGCTCAATATGAATCGGAAAGTGATAGTTCGGGATCCTGTTATAATAGACGACCCAAGTCCTGTAATGTCGGAAATCGAAGAGGACATTCCGTTTGCGCAGAATATTTTAAAAGATACAGACCTTCAACCGACTGCGAATACACAGGCAGTGAAAGTAGCGATACCAAAGGAGAAACAAAAAAGTAAGAGGAAAACAGAATCAAAAAACACCCTATCGAAGAAGAAAATGAATGTAGACGAACTAGTGAAAAATGCGAGCAGGTTATCGGAAGAAGAAACACATATGTCACTTCTGTCTCTGTTGATGCTGATATGGTCCACAGAATTTCTTCTGCATGTGACTACGACTATAGAGAGCGAGTGGTCCACGATATATATGGAGCAGACAATGACTTTGGAGACTTCTTCTTGGATTGCGAACAACTATGCAGAAAATTTTTTTTATTTTATAAAATTGTATACTCATTTTTTTTTTATTTAAAGGGACCGTCCTCATCATTGCACACTACACTCCATGATTGTGCCTTCTCAAATAATTCCTGCAGATGTGCATTCCAATCAACCTTACAACAATACAAAATCAGTAGAAGATTTGCTAGATGAGTCTTTCCAAGTTGGAAATTTTTGGTCCAACACTGGATCAATTTGTCAATCTATTTGCAGAAAGGTACCAGGAAGTACTTATACTTTAACCTCTCCGGGAGAACGTGGTTCTCAAGTGGTAAGGTTAGATGTCTTCGATTTTTCAAAGATCTCCAAGAAGTCGAAAACAGAGTGGTGGAAGGAACCGAATAGTAATGAAATTATTACTTGGGGTGAGTAAACAAATCAACCAAATACCTGGAATAAAAAAAGAGGAAAGGGAGACAAAATAATTGATTTCATCAAAGAATATCCTACTTCTCCGATTAATCATCTATTAAAGACTTCGATTTGGTGGTCTTCTGAATTTAAATTTTAGGATATAAACTCTACGTTAATAAAAAATTGTATTCGAATAGTTAATAATTATATTAATAATTTATCTTTTCAAGAGTTATCATAAGAAGCAAAATTTTGGAAAAGATAAATAATATTAATAAATAGTAAAAAAAAAATGTGATTTTTTTGTAATTTTAAGTTTGACTCCTAAGTGGTTAAGATAATCAAAAATTTTCGAAAGACTTTTTTAGAGCGTTAAATTTCCTATAAGAATATAATTTGGTTCAACAATCCGTTTAACCCATTCAGAGTTGCAAAATTCCAAAATTAAAGAAAACTTTTATCCATGTTATTTAAATGGTAACTAGAAATCTGCGATGCGCGACCTCTTAATATTAATATTAAGGACTCTGATTTTCACAGGCGTCTTTTTGCATCTCCATAAAAGTTTTTACGTGAGGATTTGGACATTTTTTTTTGAATCAGCCTAATATAATATAATATATAGTGTTGTAACTTATATTTTCGAAGGTATTATTTTATTCCAAAGTGGTATTGAAATGGTAACACTGTGTACGAGTATATAATCCGAATATTTTAATATATTTTTTTAGTGTGCCGTGTCATATAGAATCACAAATTAAACCAACGATGAATCATCAGTTTTCTTTTTTTCCATAAAGGCCTACAAAAACCACTACATTTAAGCAAATATGTTTATAAATAGTTAGGTTTAAATGTTGCTAACCGTTATCAAGGACAATAACTGATTGCAAATCACGTGCTCATCATTATCAAGCAAGATAAAAATCGATTTAATGTTAATAATACACTTTCACCATAAATATTGACATGGTATTAATTAATATAGCCGCATAAATGTTATTACAAATACATGTATTTTATTGAGTGCAGTGGAATATTCACATCGACCTTTGAGGGACACCCTTGGTGTGATTGTGCAACTTTTAGGAAATGAAATAATAAAAAATCTTAACTTCCGTTGCACCGAAGCTTTAGTACCCTTTGCAAATATAAAACATTCCTTACAAAAACTTGGTATTGATCAGTCAGTTTGCATGGCAGTTAACTATATGCTATAATGGTGCGATATTGGCTGTGCGGATATGTGCACAATTTCAGATCGATATCTCGAAAACCAAAGGACTAGTTCACTAATATACAAGCAGAAGAAATTGTTCAGATCGGGTCACAATAGCATATAGTTGGCCGATCAAAGTTTTTTAAGGAATTTTTTGCAGTTCAACACTTCCCTTAACCCCCATATACCTAGCATAAATATTTTCGAACTTCCGGTTCACTATATACCGTAGTATCGGTCAATATGTAAGACATCTTAATGACATTCAGAAAGAATTTTCTTCTAATAACAATGTATCCTAATTTCTTAAGTGGATGAAATCACGGCGATACTTTCCCTTTTAATATAAACTTTTCCCAAATCCTGAAGTTGTTTCTCCGTCTTTGTTCCTTGCAAGTTGCAATAGTATGAAATGTTCGGTTACTCCCAAACTTAGCCTCTTAACATATTACTTGTTTGATATAAAGTCTTGTCACATCTAAAGATACTTCTCTTACTTTGATCCTTACAAGTTGCAAGTGTATAAATGTTCGGCTACATCCGAACTTAGCCTTTCTGTACTTGTTTTTAAAGATAAAACCTTTCTAAATATGATAGGTGTGCCCCTCAAGGCGAAAGGCACGATTTCGGCTTTGATACTAAACTATGTTTTATAATAAGAATATTACAGTATACGATGTTCTTTTTGACTTTTCCTTTAGTAAGGAAAACAGAGTCAACAGAGCTATTGAAACATATGAAGAATGTTATCACAGGAACCAAAAGATAATAAGAATGGTTTGACGCACCGCACCACAAATCAATGAAAACTATGCAAAATTACATGAATTTAGTTTCGAATTGCCTCCGCATGCATCTGTGTTTGACGCTCAGCGACCTTTTGCTCGCGAAAAAAATATGTGAAAAAGAAAAAATAATCGCTTATTTTGAATCAAATATCAATCGTATTGCAAAAATGGTATCGCCCGTGATGTCAACTTGTTCGCATAATAAAGTCGAATTTTATCAAATATGTGTTTTTTAAAACTACATATGGTAGACTTGCTTACAAAACAGAATTCGAAACTAAGCTACGAAATTAAAATTGATGCCATTTTATTAACTAATTTTATTGAAATTTAATGTTATTGCAATTCATATTGTATGCATTATAAACAAATCTATAGCTAAATACTTATATCTAAATAAATAATTTGAGTCTACTTAAGTACTAATTCTACGCAGCACTGCTCAGTAATGTATCTTTTGCAATTAAGTAACTGTTTTCGATAAATAACAAAAACAATTTCAAGTTTTCAACATTTTGATAAAATATTCGCAATTGTACTTATGTTATAATTATGCTTATGTATATTTTTATATGACTATTATTATTAGATATAAAATTAACAATGTTTTCTTCTTCTTATTTTAGAAGTTATTCAATTAAATCCTATATTTACTAATTGTATTGTATATTTCTAGTTGTAAATAAGATCACTTAATAGTATTTTTCCAATTTTTTTTTAATATGATTTTAAAGCATTTAACCATTGTATACCATATATGTAAAAAAAATTTCGTTGACATGAAATATGACTCTAAGTTAAGATCTAAATTATTCGCTTAGTTAATTATTTAATTTTAATTTTATTTTATTAAATAATTGAGTTGAAAGCAATGTATTTTATTAGTTGCATTTCAAACATTTTTGTAACGACATGATAAATGTATATTTATATATACATATAAAGACTATATATCTGTGTAGAGATACCATATAACTTCTATTACTGTGTTCATACAGACAAACTCTTGTCACTCAAAGCAACTCTCTTCTGTAAATTATTTGACATTCCATTTTATATTATTATATTTTAATTCTTGCACGTTAATTCAAAAATAAAAAAGTAAAAATTAAATTTAAAAAATAAAAGGAGTAACAAATTTTGTGGCAGCGAAATGGAATAAAAAAATTACAAACTTTTTTTCTTGTGGCTTTCTTATCTATAAACTTCGCATTTTCACAATATAAAATTGCCGTATCTGAACATAGTCTGAGTATATCGTGATTATTGTGTGAATATTTATACTTCGTGTCAAAGCTATTGACCTCATTTCATCGAACCACTTAATTAAATATTTAGAAGCAAAGTTTTAGTTTAACAGCAAATAGTATTTCCATATTAAAATAACTAAATTTTATTTGGATCGATAGTTGAGTATTTAAAAAATACTGAAACAAGTATTCAATTATTTGAAGGAGCTCTATTCTGCTTATTCGAGCACTTACCATTTGACAGCTGTTACGTTTGACATTTTTTTTGCTACCTGAAAATTTCTATCGACTTGGAATCTTTTATAAATATTTTCAGATCAAGAGATAAAATATATACAGTGAAAGAAGAACACTAAATCGGAATAGACACAATTTAGTAAATAATTTCGTAAGTTTTCTTCAAATAGGAAAGAATCTTTGCACTAAACACGAAGTATGACGAACAGTCAAAAATATCTACGATCGATAAAGGTCCGAATATTTTATTTAGTTTTATAATTTTGAAAAAATCGATTTCGATTTCATATTGCACTTATTTAAACCTTTAAAAATAACATACTATTATTTATATATATATTATATATATACTTTTTTTTATCATATCTCGTTTAACCCGAAAAATATTTAATTTTTTTTCACTGTGTATTCTTAAAACATGTATAAATATACCTTAAACACTTCAAAACAATCGATACAATCGACGTTTATTTTGGGCTATCAGACTAGCTGTGCACCTTAAGACTAGCTTGAATTATTTTACAGGAGTTGCTCATCGGCAAGTTTTCCTCTCGTGTTGCCAATTGCGTTCGAGCTTGAGGCAAAAAATTTTCTGCACTCCCTTAGTTATGAATTTATTTAATTTTTGTTTGATTTACAAAAATATATTTTCGTAGCTAATTTTTAGCTATATTTGCCATTTTCTAAAATATTTATGTTATGTTATGCATATCTCAATACACGTTAGCATATGACATGTAAAAAATAGTTGACAACATTTGAATTATCGGACATAGAGTAAATATCCATTTAAAATTAAACGCAACTGCGGCCATGGAAAATAAGTCAAAATGAAAAAAAAAATTCGAATTACGTAGCAGCGAACTGTTATGAAGAATACAAAGAGTATACGAGCAACTCGGTGTTCTTTGTCTTTCTTCGCCGCTTCCTCGCGAATCAAGTACGAGTTGAGACAACTAAAACTTTCTTGTGTAAACAGGCACTAAGAGATTAAAGAGCGGTTATGCATATGCATACTGCATACTTTTAGGCACTCAGAGGGAAGTTTCTTTTATATTTACCAGTTTCAAATATTCGAATTTACTACATGCGACAGTTATGAACTTGTAAAAGATCCTAAACTACAAAACTGAAAAATATTAATGTCGATAATATTAAAATTAAATTAAAAGAAAAACATAATTTTTATTTCGACCCTAACTTTAAATAATCCACCCAGAGATTGTTTGACTGGTGTAAAAGCATAAACCTGTCAATATGATGGTTAAAACTTCCCATATTCACCTAACAAAAAGACCGTAACATTTGTTTTACTCATTAGTTCTTATATGTAGTTCTAATCGAGATTTAGTTGGTTGTACCTAATCTGTTTATCATAGAAAATATTCTACCAAAGTCGAACCAAAATACCAAATACGTTCAATGAAGAAAATTATCATAAATATTGAAAAATTACCATCGCGATTTTTGAACTAAATACTTAAAACCACGCGTATTTGGTCCTGTGACTACAATCCCTCAACTTTTAATGTGTTTCTTCTTAAATTTCTATTTAAGAAAAAGGACCCAGTGTAGCTCTCGAATGCCTTGTTAACAACTAGGACGACTACTATGTTCAACTAGTCTCTGGCTGTTTATCTTTCCTACAAGCAACTGGAAGTAAAAAACAATTTTTTTAACAAGTCTAGCTATTTTCGCTCAAAAAAATATTCTGTATACTCTGAAGGTTTAAGGAAAATAATAAGAAGGGGGAATATAAAAGAATGTAAACTATTACTGCTTTGTATACCAATTATTATTTTCTTTATGAAACGTTTGAAGTAGATATTATGATGAATTCTCTTCTGTGAAGCAATTATATCGAACTAGAAGAAAAAGAAGTTAGAATTTAACTATTTTTAAACTAGTTGAAGATCCGTCAAAATATGGGATAATTTACAAAAAAATGTTTAAATTGCTTTGACATCTACTATACTAAACTAAGTAACTCCGAGTGCTTTCAGATTTTACATATAAGAGTCAACCGGGTATCTTTCGGCCTCCTGCAGCATATGCCTGAAATCAATGCCACCAGTTAAGCCTGCCATCCGTGCGTCACCATTCATCGCCACACCACCATTATTGGCAGCACTATTATTTCGATTCTTTAAATGACCATTCATGAGCGATACATGATGGCTTATCGTTGGCACTGCACCCGGAACGTTATTCTCTAAATCTTGTAATATAGCGTCGGTTTGATCATGATCAATATGATTCGTCATCACAGCGGCGTCAGCCATGTTGTTCATTCGTCCGGTACCTGTCTGATCGATACTTTGTATGTGCTGACGTATGATTTTTTCAAATTCCCGTTGCACCGATGGGCTATCCGTATCGCCATCGACCTAAAAACAAAATTATGGTATCGGTAGCTTTTGAGTTGAAGCATTTCTTTTTATTATGATGTTGTTTATGTACTTACGATTTGTAGACGATTACTATTATCCATAGTTTTTAGCATTGGTAGGGTTTGCTCGCGGAAGAGCTCCAAACGTCGCCTGAACGAGGACACGGTATCGTCGACCCGACCACGCCCTAGTTGTAATTTAGAGCAGTCAAGCAGCACGATTGGCGGTCGTTGCTTGTACTAGAGAAGAAAAATTAAAACTATGTTTACTCAGTGAGCATATTATAATGACAATTAAAATATTCAGAAACTCCTGAGTAGATCCATTTGTAAGCTGTCGCTCAATCTTTGTGACAATCTCAAAGCCCACCTTATTCTCAAAATGTTTGACTTGTTGTAAATTCCGCGGAAAACCATCAATCAATATGCCTTTACGATCCATCAATTGTCTTATATTCGCATCGAGTATGTTGTTGATCGCTTTCTCCGGCACCATTTCGCCAGCGGATAGTGCCTCCTTGACGGTATAGCTTTCCGTGTTCGCACGTGGCGACGAGTCGGTAATGGCGCGCAACAGACGTCCCATGCTATAAATAGGTTTAAACTTTGAAATAGCACATTCACCATACAAAATCACACTCTCGCAATAACCTTATGTGTCCCCATCCAGGGTTCAACCTGACGGCCTTCATACAGAGCGTCGCCTTGTTACTACCCGGCCCACCGATGACCCAAATAACTGGCGGTATGCTGTCCCCGTTGAGGTTCATACTCGTCGCGGCATTTTGTGTATTTATCGCCTCAGGCTGTGTGGTGATGACTTCGGCATCTATCATTCGTGCAGTTGCAGCAGCAGCATTGACACTCGAAGCAATATGCGTGCCCACGGCATTTGCTATACTCGGATTGCCCACATGGTTGTTGTAGTGATTTCTATTCATATTGTTGTAGTTGTTGGCAGCAAAGACAGTTGTGTTGACGTTGGCATTAGAAATGTCTGCAATATTCGCGGCTTGACTAGGTGCGGTGTCTACGCTAACTATACTGCCGGGTATATCATGTATCCCTCTGCCCATACCTGTGACTCCGTTCAGCATGGCCTCTTGGTTCTCAAGCGTACTCAACACATCGAGTATGGCGGCCCGAAAGTCTTTGTACACTTCGGCGGGTGCACGCTCGCCATTTACCTGGAAAATGATAGTAGATATGCATTAATTTTTATTTTCAAAGCAAATGTCGTTCGGACGAAATTTACTCAACTTCAAAAATTGATTTTTGCTATTATTATTGTAAAAATTACTTACTGCTGTTAGCATATCACTTTGGTCAAAGTAATCTGCTACGGGCATCACATTTTTGAAGAAATTCTCTAATTCCATTTTGGCTAAGGAGAGTACGACATGACCTAATTTAGCGCCATAATCAATTTGCTTTTGCAGAACCGACTGACGCCAGGATATCAAGATCACTCCATTCACGACTTGAATCTGTAAAAAATATAATTTTCGTACTACTTGTGTTTGACCTGCATGGAGTTTTGTATGGATGTGTGCGGGTATAGGAAGTCTAAAAGTGTTCAAGTCTGACATATACTTAGAAAATGTAAAAATACATATAATGGGTGTAGAATCGGAATTAAAAAGTGAGAAAGTCAAGTTAAGTGTATTACACTAATATTTACATTGTACCTCCAAGTACATCTAGTGGGTTACAGTCTTTTACTTATTTCCCATTTGTCTAATTTAGTGAAACTGATGACCTTTTGAGCACAATATTTTTGTTCAAGTTCATTAACGATCCACCAAATTTCATTCTTCCACACGACAAAAGCGCTAAAAAAAATGTGACTAAGGTAAGACATCTAGTCTACGCCGATGTCTCTTTCAATGAGATGAGCTTTCATTCCGATAGCAGTACAGCGAACTCATTAACTTAGCACTCATTGGTTTAACTCATTATCAATTGTATCCAGTTAAGTTTAATAGTCATAGCAGAATTAGTATGAACGGCTGCCAAGTTTGTGAGCACTTGGAATCCTGTTGTTCTATAATGGTTTAATATTGGATGGTTGACTCTCTGGTGAGTTCAACAAGCATTAGGTAACCACCAGTATATGCGCAGTAGCAAACTGGCTTGAATCTTGTGAACCTATTATGTTCTTAATTTTTTTTCTTCTTACTAGATTTAGACGATTTTACTGGTCATTGTCTGATTAACAACCATGCGACATTAATAAAAGTATTGTGGGATGTTAATTGTCGAAATAGTCTCGAAGATGTCGAGATAAGACTATCTAAACCCTTGCTCATTGTGTGCTTGCCGGAGTTTCCTAAATCTGAGGTTAAAATAACTTCGGCTTTCACGTAAGACTTTTATATATAGTAATCGAATAAGGAAACCTTATATTCCACAATTGAACTAAACGATATCCAATATTATACGTTCATGTTTTAAGATAGTTTACATGTTGTCCGATCTATGAGCTATAAAGAAAACCAGACTTAACCCACTTTTGTTGATTTTCAACTGAAGGTCACATTATGTTGAGGAAAAGATTCTCTCTGTATTTAAATTATATGTATGTTTCACAGATTTACCCTGAGACATGAATTGCCACGCCTTGAAAGCACTTTTAGTGAAAAGTTATATTCCGTATAAAAGTTGCCAGAATAATTGGTCCTCCGCGAGTTTGGTTAGCTTAATTTTGGAGGTTTGTGACATACCTATGTACATTAAACTTATGACGCCCCCTTTTAAAAAAACTTAAAACCAGAGATGCCTTCCATACAACATTAAAGTTTCGGGTGTTTATCTGTGCCCTAGTTAGTTACAATTTTTCGATTAATATCATTTTTTTGGGAACGACAATGGTCCGTAGTTAGTGACGTAAACAAAACTATCTTCCATCATAACTACACACCGGCGCACATCTCCGCCGTGTCATAGGCATTTTGGTCGCGTTATGCTATAAACTTCTGTCCCAATCACCGTATTCTTTGATTTGCTTCAGGGCGACTTATTTTTGTTTCCGAACTTAAAAAAGTTACTCGGAGGCAGAAATGTGAATCAAACGTAGCGGACCGCCACGGAAACCTACTTTGCAGACCCCCGAGAAAAAAATATTACGGGCGGGTTGAAAAAGTTGGCGAATCGCTGGATCAAGTGTATCGAGCTAAACGAAAATTGTGTTGGGAAATAAATTACTATTTAAAAAAAAAAAGTTACAAGTTTCTTCTATAGGTCAAATAATTATTAAACCGCTCTCGTGCAAGACATTTGAATTTTTTATAAATGTTCGCGAAATGTTTTATGTTTTTACATATGGTTATATGTTCTAATGTTTTCCATAAGCATTGATAGTTAAATTATGGTTAATTTGTGAGGTAGTGGATCAATTACAGGTGTTTGCTTAGAGAAAAGATTAGTACCACAAATATAAACTTTTTCAATAATGCTGAATCACAAGCGCATGCAAATCAATGCCAAATCGCTTACCTTTTCCGAATATTCGACCACGTCGCGCATTGAGCGAGGAAATCCTGAAATTAGGTACGCTTTGGCAGCTGGAGCCATTTTCATTTCCAGCATGAGCACCTCTGTGACGGTTTTCGAGGATAGTTGCGAGAAGTCTTGCATATCTGCAAACATATATTTACGTTTACATATCTTATATTTCTAAATATGTACAATAAATTCTGAATGCATATACTACATATAATATTCGCTCACCGTTCCCCATTGCGTATTGTTGCAACAAATCCATCATATTTATATGCGTCACACCGCGGCGCTCCTGCATAAATGTGTCACAATGCGTGACTTTGCCACTACCTGGGCCGCCTAAAACAAATATCACTGGCACTTTGGGCGGATCGAATTTTATTTTTCCAGCATTTTGCATGTCTATAGCGACCATGTTTCCCGTACCGATACGTCCGTTGGCACTGTTTTGATTTCGTATATGACTCCAATCGTTGCCTTGTTCGCCGGTATCTTGTGCCGCGCTGGCATCTGAAAACAGTGAGCGTATTTAATGTTATAATACAATTAATTGAGTTATAAATATATTAAAGAATATAAGTTAGAAATATATATCCAAATTATACTTGAACTAAATTATAAAATTAAATCGCTAAAAATAACTGTACAATTTTGTAAAGCGAAGTACAAATTTGTTATTTGCCACTGTAAAATCAACAGTTATTTAAGGTAACATACTCCTCTTTCTACACACGTTCTGCCATTAGTTTTTCATTCCTGACTACTTCTGATTTATTGTAGCGGAAACATAAAATTAGCTAATCGGTGCGCTGAAACCGTTCGGCTGCGCTTTTTGGGCGGTCCGCAAGTGGCCGGAAGTTCGCAAAATGCCGTTAGTCACACCCTAGTTTTAAGAGCTTAAACATGAACACACATACAAACTCCTTCGTGCTCGTGTGGCATGTTGCATGTTGTTTCGAAGCAACTATATAATACATTCGCATTACAAGTAGTTTTCTTAGCGCAGCGTGTTGGCGTGACTTGTGCCATTTTAATCGTGATTAGTACATCGTTAACATATGTATATGCAAATATTCTTGCCGCCATACTTTAAGCATTCTTTGAGTAGCTGCAATGCGGTCTGGCTGTTTCACAATCCTGTGTAACAGGTAATGCAAATTAGATTCCTATTGTTGCTTTGGGTTGAGGGAAATGACCTGAGGAACTCAATTAACTAAGTGGAAAATTTTGATCCGCCAATCGCATGTACAGATCGACAGCCATACATACTTATGTGTTTAAGTGTATTTGTTCAGTATTTGTTTATTTATTTGTTAAATTGCAATTAAGTAGTGATATCTTTCTTTGAAATAGATTTGTTAAAAGTGGCAGTAAGGAATTAATGCAGAAAACGTAAAATAACGTTTGCGTATTTTCAAGAATAGATAAGACTTGTAGGACTTGTAGAACTACTTGGTCTCTCATGTCAGCAAAACAGTCATTCCGATTTCAACTCGTCTCATTATCCTGATTATTTATATATGTATTTTTATATAACCCTATATCTAACTCGATTATTTTTAGATGGTCTTGTACAAACAACCGTTAGGTGAACCAAACTATTACACTCTGTAGCAAAATGTTGCAAGAGTATAAAAATATGAAATCAAAACAGTTGTACTCAAGTTATGCGGGTTCAAAGAAAATGTATATTATATTATTAGTATTTTTCTTTATGGCTATTAAATTTGTATCATAATCTTTTAAACATTAAAGCTTGAAAATTGTAATCGAAAGAGGGAAAAGACCATCGAAAGATGTAAAGAGCATCTGTAGTAGCACACAGAAGGATATGTCCATATATATCCACATATACCTTACTCCCTTTTACAGCTTACTTGAAGTGAACAAAGAAATTTAACTAGACCTTAAGGTCCCTATTAAGGTTTTCAACCCTACTGCATTTTGGTTGAAGTTTTGAAATTCGGTATTATGGTTCTCAACTCAACCCGTTAAAAAACAAATTCAGTTGAAGTGTTAGCAAACTTCAACATTTTTGGTACTACGGTTTTCAGCTCCGTACCAGTGGTCTGAAGTTGAATTGCTTCAACTTCAATTCAATCGAGTGTAGTTGAAAACTTTAATAGCGGTAAATATCTGATTCGTATTAAGTAACACTATTCTATATTGAAGTAATTAAGAGTGGATAAGAACTGTGATAAAATAGCTAGGCTTTAGGAAAATAGCTGTACTATTTGCAGATCCATCGGACCTTTGATTCCTGAAATATTTGAGGGACCAAAATTGAATATGGGAGAAATTTCGTATAATGATGAAAGACCATGTGATCAGAGTTTACCCGGACGGAAAATTAAACTTTTCATACACTTATGTACGGATATTATAAGCTTCGGCTGGAATGGCCTTCAGTGAATTTGGCATTTTCGGTTTGGCTCATTTTTGGAGCGACACTAGCTAGATTTGAGGATTGTTTCGACGTCATAGTATTTTTGCGTTTGATGAATATAGGGTCCTCAGCCACGTTGTCAAGCATCTCTTTTGCGATCTCTAATAATTTTTGTCTGTTTCTTTAAGTTTTCCAATGTCATCGAAATTAAAACCGGGAGATGAGCGACTTGCATGAGGCAAGTTTTCCATTACTTCACGCTCCTCACTGAATGCTTTGTGCCAAAACACAAATACAAAATTTCAAGCATCTTTTTTAATTTTTACTTTCCTGGTAAAAATCGCCAGACAAACTTTTCGTGTCGTAAACAAAGTGCTGCCAAACACCAACTAATTGAATTATGGAGAAGAAATTTCATAGTAACATAAAAAATTTTTACCGAAATCAAAAAATAATTGTATCTATTCACACAGTTTAAATGGACGCACAGTTTAAATGGACTAGTCCAAATCAAATTTAATCGGATGCTAATATGTTTTTAAAAGTTTCGGTCACAACCAAACCTGTGCTACGTATAACAAATCAATATTAACAGGTCTTCGAATTACTTTAACATTCACCATATTCTGACATTTTCTTGTTCTCAGACCTCATGAAAATGACCGCTGGAATGAAAATATAATGACAATAAAGAGGTATTTGCCGAGGCTGAAGAGCTATAGACTAATTAAACAAAAAAAAAAAAATGGTATCGAGTAGTTAGAAGATAGCTTTAAGCGATGTATCGCCGTTGATGGCTACTTTAATGATTAGTAAAATCTTGTTTTGCCCAAAATGTGTTTTCACGTGAAACGCAACTTGCCAGTATCTCTGATAGATTAAAACAAAATATCCCCAACCTCATATCCCCACATCGTATAATGAAATCGTAAATTTACCGAATATGACAAAATAACCAAAGCTAATTTTTGACCGTACATTGCAAGGTGCTTTGTCTGGCGCTTACACTTGCAGTTTTATTGTCACGTATTCATATAAAATATTTGTACGAATTAGAGTAATAAAGAGAAGCGATTGGAATTAATAAACCCATTTGTTTACATATCATATTTTAAGCTGTCATGAAACAAATTGTATATCAATTTTTCACGTTCCATTCTCATAAATCCGCAATTTTACCTGTGTGTATGTTTGAACATATATTTGACGTACATATACCATATACAAGGGTATCCGGTAATTCAAAAAACCAGTTTTTTTTTCTGAAATTTAATTTTTTGCCTTAAAACAGTTATGTAAGAACAACAACAACAAGCTCTTTATTTTCAATTTAAATCGTGCTTAATTCCCATATATTTTTCGATCTTTTGCATAAAATTTTTTATATGGAAAGAAAATAAACTTACGACTTTGAATATATTATATTCTAATACAAAATTCAGTGCTCTATAAAGCAGGTCTTAATGAGGATTAAAAGTTATACGCAGTTAAAGTTATACATCAAATGTACTGAGCTTTCATACAAGTGCCTTATAAAATCTGTGTTGCTTATACGACGTGGCGTACTATTCGAATACAGTATATTTGATAATATTAATCAGCTTGGGATATAACGAGCACCCTAATATGTATGGACACAAAGCAACATTGATTAATTCATTGCAACTAATTAATGTCATACATACCTACATATGATATATATACACAACGAACAATGGACACATTCACGTCCTTTCAAAGTGTTTGTACAATTGTTGGATTTATGAACGCCGACGACTGACCAAGGGTGAGACAAGTCTGGGAAGCCGCTATGCTTAGGTTCTGTGACCTACATCAACCCAATACAATCAACCAAATACCGTGAGTTAATTTATATAGTTTATAGGTATATAAGTATATTTAGGTACATACAAATATGAATGTCTATATACTTCATTCAATGCAATAAAATACTACAATATTGCGACACTTGTTATACAAATCGCTTTCGCCGCCATTACGCGTGTTGAACATTCAAAGTCCTTGTATGTTCATGGGTGTTCATTGACCACGAAGCCGAAAGATATTTTCTAAATGAATAATGGCATGGAGGCACGACAATGCGCCACAACGTTCATGCAACTATTAGCAATTGTAAATTTCCATTAAATATTCTCATATGACGTAGACTGTAGTGCACATATCAAACGAAAACTAAATTATCGAACGTGTCTTTTTTTATAAAATTCTTTAAGGCAATAGTCGCAAAAAGGGAATTAAGTCTCAATTTAAGTCTCCAACAATAGTAAAAAATTTCTTGGCATTTTTTATAATTATATCGACTTATATGGTTTACTTCTTTTATATTTTTATAACTTCAATCGACACTTGGCGAATTCTGCAAAATAGTCATATCAGAAAGAGAAGAAATACATGAAGCCGAAACAGGCCTTGATGCGAAAAACTGTTGTTTGAGTTTCGGTCATTAGGCATTATATTATTTATGACTATTTTACGAAATCTGCTCGATCCAGAAAAAACGTTACTTTCTGCTGCACCTAAGCTATAATATCCCTCGGAGATGCATTTCTTATAGCAAAAAAGGGTATATACCAATATTTTTATTTGGTTTTTGATATCTTTATATGATAGCTATATTCTATAGTTCCCCAAACTGAACAATTTCCTCGGATATTGCAGTGTTGCCTTGAATACTAATCTATGCTCAATTTCGTGAAAATAATTTGTAAAATTAAAAAGTTTTCCGTACAATAATTTGATTGTGTTTGTATGGCAACTATATGCTAATGTAGCCAGATATCGGCGGTTCCGACAAATGAACAACTTCTTGGGGGGAAAACCCCATTTACAACATTTTGGATCGATATCTCAAAAACTGAGGGACAAGTTCTTGTATATAGAGACAGACAGATTGATATAGCTAAATTGACTGTTGTTGTTGATTATAAGTATATATATGTGATAGGATCTCCGACGTTTCCCTCTGGTTGTTACAAATTAGTTCCTCTATCATATGGCACTATTACAAATATTACTAAGTATTGTATAATACTACAAAACTGGATTTATTTTGAATTTTTTTTTCTAAATTAGTTAGAAACCGAATCAAAAACATTTGTAGCTA